GTTTATCTAGACTAAGGAAACCAGGAATTGCCACTCAAAAATATAAAAAAATCAAATCAGCAAGTTTAAATTTACGCAAATCAGCCTCAACAGTGTCTATAGATGAAGGGATTTGGGGAGTTTACTCCAGTAAAGGGTAGCAAAATTCAGCTGAACTAGCTCTGGTATAGGCTAAGGGTTCCAGGGTCCAAGCAGCACATCCCCACCCAGAAATTCCCAAAGTACCTCCCCCGGGCCGAAAGCCCAGGAAAAGGTTAACTGTCCACAATCTGGCTCAGTGTACAAAATCAGTTGCACCAACTGCAGTTTTGTATACTACGATCAAACTGAAAACTCGGATTACAGAACACAAAAGGGCTGTTCCTATGTTCGACCATGTCTCCAAGATCTCCTGCCATGTCCACGAAAACAACCACAAAATGGATTTTGGAAGTGTCAGATTTGTTGGACACGAGGCTAACTTTCAGGAGTGACTCTTCTTGGAAGCCTGGATATTAATAACGAATCTGCTATCTGGAAATGGCCACATCGCCATCCCAGAAGTCAACAAGTCTTTGGCACGTACATAAGTCTCGCGCTACGTTTTCTTGAAACTTCACGCGGAATTTTCCTCAGCGCACGTTCGACGTGCTGTTTTTTGAATCACGCTTACTAACGTTAATATTTCAACCGATGAAGGCTCAAGCACCAGCCGAAACGTCCTGAACGAAACATCAAAAAAAAAAAAAAAAAAAAATAGTCAGTGTCCAACCATTATCTTACAAAGCCAAACTGTCTTCGAATTTTTACAACCGTAATTTGTTGTCAAAATGCTTTTTCTCTTTTTTGTTTTGCAGATTTCTAGAGTGCGACAGCAAAGAGATTTCACAGGACACCGGTGAGTAAGACGTTCTCTCCCAAAGTGATTCGTGTCCCTGAGATGAGCATTCCACTCTGTGAACATATGTCCTGATGTAACCAGAGCAGGATCATTTTCTTTTATACAAGTTTCAACAAAAATGTTTGGATGATGTTCATTGAAAGTTTAATGTCGAATGAACTGTTTTTAATGTATTTTCGACTAATCAGTGTGCTGAAACTGAGGGAAATAGTGCCTAAAAATAATTTTACTGACAACCTGAACTAAACACCATGAACCGTGAATTAAATAAAACAGTTGTTTCGACATTCAAACGCTCTATCAGCGGAACTGTAAAGTGTTGGGAGCCGGCTGACAGCATTCGATTCGAAGCAAACGGCCAATCCGGAGTTTAGCGCGCTAACCTTAAGACCACCGCCTCAACTTCCGCGTCCACGATACACGTGTATATATCGAGACAGTTTGATGTGAACATGTGAAATGTATTATGCATACTAACACACAATTGATGTTTCTGAAGTTTAATTTTCAGATGGTAATTTTAAAAAAACTCTTGCATTCCAAGCATCTTTAGACAGTTAAGATATTATTACAAAGGAAAAGCGTCGAAAATATCGAAGGAAAAGTCAGAGTTTCAAAATGCCCTAAATAAATTTTCTGGCTTGACAACAACCTGGTCTACAAAGACCAGCGAACAAGATAGGTCCAAAACAAACTGGACGCGAACCCAGGAAACATCCGGCTTTTTTCATTGGTTGCAGTAGCCTTTTCCTAAGCAGACAAAAGCTTGAGTTTCTTTTTTTTTCTCCTGATTAAAAAACCTGAACTTCCTAACTTATAAGACTGTGGATGAAACCATTAAGTGTGACCATGTAACTGTAAGCTATTGAGCAGTACGTTAAGGGAGAAATGTTATAATTATGCTGTACAAAGCTCCAGATGAAACATAATGCATGACCATTCAAATGCTTCTATATTGTGTTCTCTGTTGTCCAGGCAACAGTGTTGCTAGGCTCGATTACCTGCCGCTGGGATGAAGACCGCAGACTCGAAAAAGCGGAAGAAGTGTCGCAGGCTTTTAGCTTATTTTCAAGAAACTGCAACAAAAATATTTGCACTAAAAATCGTCCAACGTGCCACATTGCACATGAAAATTATTAACACAATAAGTGCATGTGACGATTGTCTCGTATAAAGTTGGGTTGCAATTGTCTCACTTAATACTTAATCTGGCGTAGGTAGCTAATTAAAGATGATTTCCATTCCTTTCTGCGCACGGTCGAGAGTTTGTTTGCGTTTTTTGTTTTGTTTCGTGGAAGACATCGCAAAATGTAAACATTTCGCAACTTCTTACATGAAGTAAATTCAATGTTTGAAAACAATCGCCATTATGCCGGATGCGAAGTGGTCGAAGCTTTATGCTTCGTTCTTTCTCATATCACTTGATGACACAACTTCGCAGCTGTAAAAATCAATGAAGCTGTGGGAAAAAAATTTGAAAAGCTTCAAAGATTAGGTATGTGGTTCGTAACGAATAACATCGATTCGCATTCCATCGAGTGAGAAGTTATAATCGTTATAAACATTACGGCGCTGAGACTGCGCAGTACGGACTGGATGTCATCTTTAAGTAATGAGATGTACTGCCCTTACTGAAGGTTGTGACGTGACGACTTATCGAGCTAGTGTTCTAGAGGACGTTCTTCATTGGACAATGATACCTGTTATCGGGAGTCCTTCCGGGGTAGCTCACCGGGGATTTAACAATAATGATTTATTCCCAAACGGGTTCATGCTTATCACCTCACAAGGTGAATTTTAAGATCGTCTTTACGTAGCTGGAGATTGAAGTGATAAATGGTTTGTACGGATTTCAATAATTTCCTCTCGTGTCGACCACTTTAATTATTTATAAACACGTCTCCTGGATCTAAAATATAAACGCCAGTATTAACGCCAGTATTAACGCCAGGTCATATTTTATAAAGAAGTTCGCGGTTTACGCATCTTGAAAAGCTAAGCCTAAATATTTCAACTTTGTCGTTTGTAATCTGTTTCAATCATCTTCATCCTTGTTTCTTTAGAGTTTATTATTATCTTTTACGCGTTTTTCTATCATAGTAAATTAACATTTGGTAATTTTGTCCGCGAGCAAAATAACTCAAAATTCCCTGACTGAGCTCCGTCAATTAATGTGATAAATGGCAGCATCAAAACGAGTTAAGTCCAATTTCTTTTGGTGCACGAGGAGACACTGTTTGGTTGTAATAAATTTTAAGAATTTATTCACTCGATGACTGCGTGACACGTAAGGTGTTCTTTGGAATTGGAAGCCTTTGTTTGGCCCTGGGGCTTGGTACGTGCTCTTGGAAAGAGCTCCCCCAAAGGGGGTCATCCGGAGCTGACGGAACTATTAAAGCTATTGTAATTTTTCCAAAAGAAAGCGGTTTATTCGATCAGTAACTCTTTAAGCCATAACAATGATAAACGAGTAAGTTCTCTCCCAAACATCTTTACAAAGTTTAGTCAGGTTTGTAAAAAGAATGCTAACATTGATCAGACTGACTTTAGCTGCCACTTAATTCCCTGTTACCCACTGGGCCGAAGAGCATTCCATCGATTGTTGAGGGTAAGTTTTCTCAAAACATATAAAGAAATAGTCGCCTAACTGGTGCTGTAAGAATTGAATGTAGTGTAGTAAAATGCGGGTGAACTTGCATGTTGACACGTGAAGTCTTACCTGCAACAACTCTTAACTGTTTACAGAAAGGTTGTTCAGTGACACGAAGACATGTTAACCTATATACAGTGTGTAACTTAAATAAAATAGTGATGTAAAGTTAAGCTGAAGCATAGCTACAACCCTGGTCACAAGTCTTGGGGCAGTTTATGGCAGATGACTGCACAGGCAGCCTCTCTTGAGACCAAGACCGCGTAAGCCCGCCTACCACCCCTCCCCCCTGTCATTGTTGATAAAAATCTTGAAAACAAAAAAAAAACCCTTGATAAAAGCCTCAGAATAGCCACGTTTCAAGAATTGTTTGCCTCCTAGAACAGTCTTCTCCAACTAAAGTAACGATAACATAGATATTCACGTCTTATTCCAATAATAACGATTTTTCAGCAATCACGTTCGCTTCCGACATAACTGTCTAACCACTTTCTATTGTCCCTTTTTTCATTTTAACATCATCCGATCTACTCCTCAGAATAGCTTCATTTTCTTTTAACATTGCTAAGGGGGAAGGGGACTATTATACTTGCTTCTATTCATCTTTTCCTAAAACGTCACGGACGTAGTTAAAATCGTGGGTTTTTGCACGCAAAGGGGGAGGTGTCCCAACAACCTATGGCCAGGATTGTAGGTCGAGTTTTCAGTGCACATTTACGCTCTGCACATGTAAACAAGTCAGCTTTGAATTGTTTTAAATCACTTCTTTCACTTATATTTTTGCAGTAAGTTCTTGTGGTGATCAGTGCTGAGTATGAAACGTTAGGCAATAGACCAATTTCGATATATTAAAATTTAGCCTAAAACAATAGACGTCAGTACGAGGCTCTGGGGAATAACTGCAGAGTTTGTGGGGTTTATTCCCCAGAGCCTCGTGCTGAGGTTTATTGTTTTAGGCTGAATTGTAATATATCGAAATTGGTCTATTCTGGCGATAATTTCAGAGTTAGCTTACTCCAAAAGAAAAAAAAAAAAAAGTTTAAGTTAAAAAGAACTTGGTTACCGAAAGAGAAAAATTATGGTTCGCCCAAGGTCACTGGCTCCAGTGTTATTTACTGTAAAACCATTAATGTTTTGCAAGATAATTTTCGTCGTTTCCGCTCTATTTTTCCTCTCGCACTCCCGATTATTGTTTAACATTGTAACTTTGGAGAAATGAATGAATCCCTCGCAGGAAAGAGGAAATGAACTCGACTATTTACCGGGCTGAAGAAACTTTAATTGAGAGAAAAGCGTCTTACAAAATTGAATAGGAAATTAAACTGAGTCGACGGAAAATACCAAGGATTTTTGTCGCCAGGAAATTTCGTATCAACTACATACATTCCAGCTATACGAGAGGTATTTCCAGCTGAGCCTTAAGACCAAACACGAAATGTATTTGAAATATTTTGCTTATTTTAAACAGTAGCTTGGCATATAATTTCGATGCAGCTTAAATCTGAAAGGAAGTTCTGACTGTTTAAATTCTAAACAAAATCAGTAGCTTTTGAAGCACGAGATAAATGTTTTCAATTTAAATACGTCCGGCGAAAGCGGCAATATCAAAACAATTTGCCCAAGGCAAAGAAAACACGATTATTCCGGTGGTTTGTTGTTTAACATTAACACTTGAGTTTTTAGTTTTGGGTTTTCCTTCTGGTATTTTCCCCAAAAAATTGAACAGCTGAATACCACTTTGCTAGTAAAACATTATCTTCAGCCATGTTTTAAAACACGTTCCGTTAAGAGTATTTATTTAATACAAATATTCAAGTTTCCATTCACTCCAAATTCAATACACCGGTTTCACTTTTGAAAAGAAAATCATCTTAATGGGTAGAAAACTGACATGTGTTCCTTATTCCAAAGCCACATTGACGAGAAAAACGTTATAAGGCTCAGTGTGATGTCCATGGTAATAGAAAATGTTCACAAGATTCATTAGGCCAACATTTTGAAGTTGAATATTCCATTGAGTTCAGCGCCCCCAAAAAGCTAAAGATACCACCGAAGGTTAATACGAGACACAAGGCAAGCTTTGTGTTGTGGGGTGGTTATGTCTCATATTTTGAATCCCTTCGATCCGTCACGTAGAGAAATAAAATAACAAGAAAATAAATGAAAGAATCAAGCAATGACGAATGAAGCAATCACCAGCTTTTCAGAGCATTATTCTGCCTCAACACAACTGCATTTTTAGAGAAACAGAAGCAAAGGAAGATGAATAAACTGCAAACAATAGATGATCCTGTGGAGGTTCTTTGCCGGAACTAGGCGATTTTTTTTCATTTTTGAAGGATAATTG